AGCATGTCCGCTGTTTTCTCTTCGTCTGTTTTCAGTGCTTGTGGAGGAATTCCATCTGGTCCTGCTGCTTTACCAGTTTTCAGCAACTTTATGATGAGTTGCAGGTGGTGGTGCTGTGGTGGATGATTGAAAGGTTTTTTGAAGTGGTCAGCCCATCGTTTCCTTTGTTTCTTCTCTTTGGTAATTAGATTTCCTTCATCATCTTTTGTTGGTCTCATGTGTGTTGATCTCTTCCCTACCAGATAGTAACCTGGTTATTTGATACAATGTTGTCAGGTCTGTGTCTCTTCTACCAGCAGCCTGTTTTGCTTCGCTTGTCAATGTGTCGTAGAAGTGTCTTTTGTGTTTCCGTGCACTCTTCACTTCTTTGTCCAGTGTTTTATACGTTGTACTCAGTTCCTCTTCTCGTCGTTCATCCTTGCACTGGTTTGTCTTCTGCTTCACTATCCTCCTCTACCTGCTCTATCAGTTTCCATGTGTGCGTCGAGAACCATTCCTTATCTTCTTTCTTCTTCCTTACTAATACGGTTATGCAGGTTTCTTTTCACATAGCTTTCAAAGAGTTCCAGTGTTCTTCCACGCCTGATCCTTCAAGGATGTTGCTTCGTGTCTCCCATTTTGTCTTGATGGCTGACGTGAAGATGTCCTTTGTAGTTTCGTCCTTCAATTTAGTTTCTGTTCTAGGTGTGTCATCACCAGCTTCTTTGAAGGCTTTCAGCTTGATTTTGAAGGATCCTTGGACTAGATAGTGGTCTGGGCCTACATCTGCTCCTCTTCTTGATCTTGTGCCAAGTAGGCTGTGTCTCCGCTTTCTTCAGATTGAGATGAAGTCAATTTGATTTTTGGTGTGTCCATCTAGTGAATGGTGAAACTCGTGTCTCTGCCTTATGAATATCCTTGTATTTGTACACACTGTCTCCAACCAGCAAATCATTGAATGGGTAGAAGTCTGCAAACAGTTCTCCATTCTCATTCATCATTTCACCGAGTGCTCCTCGACCCATGATTGGTTCTCTTCCTGTGTTGTCCGCTCCGAGTTTGGCATTCGTGTCGCCCATCAGAATTTTGATGTTGCCAACTGGAGTGGATTTTTTTCCATTACTGATTGTAGTTGTCTGTAGAGTTCCTCCTTCTTCTGTTCATCTGCATTATTTTTAGGTGCGTAGCGTAGCATTGAATGGTTTTGACTTTTCATCCTTTTGAGTTGAACCTTCTTGTCATGAACCTGATCCTGGAGGAGATTAGTTCCCACTGCATGCTAGAGAGCCTTCGATGCTCTTAAGAGGGGGACATCATGATAGCCACTGGAAAACTCAGTATGCTCATGGTTGTCGTCTGAGTGACGATATCAGAGTAGATTATTAACTCTCCGGTTGACGGTTTGGAGAGTCGACTTCCATTCCATCTGCTTCCGTAAATTCCTAACACTACAGTGTGATACCTTCTCATCTCCTTTGCAATCTGTGCAGCCTTGTCAACCAGCTTCAAACATTGTTCTGACATTCCATGTTGCCATTCTTACCTTTACCTTCATCGAGAGAAGACGCATCGGCCAATCGGCTTCCCGAAGGCTTTCACCAACCTTCATCATTTCTCCTCTCCTGTTCTGGGGAGGAATAATTTTTTTTTTTACTTTTTATATTTTGTTTGTGATTTGAAGTTTCTGCTGGGTTTGGATTGGTTTTACGGGGTGGGGTTGCTAGCCCTATGCCCAACCTTCCCTCTTTTCCCGGGCTTAGGACCGGCTAGTAACTCGTTAATTATCGGGGTTTTTCTTTCACTTCTCAGTGGTTTTACGTAGCCGCTTATTTTCTAGGAAGACAAGAGATTAAATGCCTGTGACTCTGGTTAATTGTTTCACTGTTGTTCAGATGTACAGAAAGTAAAATGAAGCCGTTTGTCATGAAATTTATGGAAAAATAGAGGATATTTTGCTTCGTAAACCAATTTTTTAACACTGTGATTCAGCCTTTCTTTCTCTCATTCCATATGTCTTTTGACGCATTGCATCCCTATAAGCATAATTTCGCTTGCTTTTGAAATATTTTTTGGTATGCTTTATCTTGTATGTGATAATCACATTTTTCTGCATGACAATTCGGTTTGTGTATTAATACTGGAAGGAAATACCTGGAACTGCTTTCAAATGGCGTCATGTACACATATATAATGATTATTTGATTAGTGATGCGTATATTTTGAATATGCAGTTATATTTTCAGTCTTGGAAAAAAATGGTTTCTCGGTGACGTCATTTTGTGTATAGTAGCTGATATATTAAATTCTGTTTTTTCAATGAAGAGAGGGAACTACATCAATTAGGGTATAAGCAGCACCTGTGTGTCGAATTAGACATGTGTATATTTTTACATACGCTAATAATTTTTTCGTTAGTTATGGCATGAAGAGGATCACGATATCAGTGTATGCTCTTCACCAAGTCATTTTTGTTCATTTTGACGATAATCAGTGTCTGGTTATTGTAATACCAGGTTTATCGGCGAAGAAAGCTAAGCAACTTAGCTGGCATACTGGGTGCTAACCACTCAATACCAATATCATTTATAAGTTTTCAGTTTACCTAAGATTTCAGGTTTACATGTTATTGATAAGAATATGTAAGCACTAAGCTTATTTCCGATTGGTTACCATTTACATTTTATGATTGTTTTATTTAACCACCTTTTTAACTACATTATAGCCACTTTTTATCCGAATTCAGTGAGAATTATTGCATGACATTTGTTGTTACGTGATAATTAATTCGTGAACTGGATTGAGTTAGTCGTTAAATAACTATGATTTCCAGATGATGCATTAATCATTGTACCCTAGCGTTTTTAGTTGAATATGTTTTATTTTCGGATTTCAAATATAAATTGCTGTCAAATTCAAACAAATAAGAACAGTGGCTTATGAACATTCTGCTAACTGCCACAAAATACATATTACTACTCAAGTCCGTAAAAGTACGTGGAGCTGCGGTTCATTGGCTTAGGCAGTTGACTTTCAACTAGTGAATCACGGGTTCAAGCCCCACTCTACGCAATAAGGTGTAAACGTCCAGGTAGTATCATTACCCTCACACAGTAGGTATGGCTCATCGACTTATGCACGAATGTGCACCAGGTTACAGAATACATTTTGATATTTGACTGTAAAAACATCACTTTGTCGTAATCTCATCTAAACCCCCACATTGAATTACAGGACTTTGAACTACAATTTCTTCAACTAATGTGTTATGCTTGAAAGGTTAGACAGCTTTAGCCCTGATTTAAATAAAAGTGAAGTAACTGTCTGAATTCCAGGCCAAAATGGTTCGCTCAACTGTAGAAGGTTTTTCCACATTTGTAACTTTTTAAATTTGTCCTTATAAATAGCTCTTATCGAAACTATGACGAAACTTTAATGACTGTTTATAAACCTCTACATCTATCTCCATTATTGCCTTCATAAATGATTACATTGTTCTGGAATAAGCAGGAAGATTGTAGTTTGTAATTACCCCAGTAAATGAAATTGGACACTATGAATAAACAACAGAAATAAATGAAATACGAGTCTGTAGAGATTATAATATTTTACGGTTTACGATAACATGGACAGTAGATATGTATGAGAAACTGATATTGATGTCCTCAATAGTTGCACAAATTACTTTCCTAGGTTTTTGCAATCAAGCTTACAGACTAATAATTGACGACTATACAGTTTCGCGTAACTCCGCTATTTCACCTCACTGTACTTTGTTTACGCAGCTTTTATTTGAGCTGATGTCGTTTAAAATTTACCTACTCACAAACTTATAATGCTGCAGTCGCACTAAGTGAGTTATGCTTCATATATTCTTAAGCTTCTTTCCAGATATCTTCTACACAAAAAACCTATTAAATTACTAATGGCTCAAATACTCGTGCTTATTCAATGATCTAATGATGGGTTGATGGTGTAACGTACACAGTGATTGATAACGAATGGGGTAAAAGGTCTAGTAGTACATGTTTTGAGTGGCCACTAATCTTTCGTTATTTGTGCTCACTTTTTGTCGAAAATACACGTAACATAGTATGCACTGTATTTACCTTTAATTAACGTTGCGTCAATATCATTTCAGTATCAGTGGCCGAAAAATTCGGTGACAACTGAGGTAATCCGTTTTTAAGCAACTACTCATGGTGAGTCTTGCTGTTAATTTGTACAAATGCTCACTAACGCGAAACACTACAACTGTGAGACAGGGTAAATAGAACTAATGGTATGTATATATGCTTGCATTGTTGTATTATCTTGTGTGGAGTAAAGTTATAGGTTGTTTAAGGGTTAACATTTCATTACATGAAATTGTCTATGGGACGAAAACCCTAGTTTCTTTAGATTTGGTTTTTGGATAGCAGAAATTAGCGCTTTAAAAGTCTAAGCGGATGGTTGGAAATCGAAATCACTGGATCTATTATTCTTGCCCTGTATATTGTCTTGAGAATTGAAAAAATTTTTATCCTGTATATGTACCTTTTCAACTTCTGCGCTCTACTTCTAAGTTCTGGAAATCTAACTTCCAGACCTGTTCTGCTACAGGTTGTATCAGTCCGCTAGTATCTTCAAGTCAGTTCCGTATAACAAATCATAAACTTATAAGATTTTCCAGGTAGTTATACGTTTTGGAAACATTTTTGAAGTTAAAACAATTGACGCTTTTATTACATAAGGGACTTGGAAATCTGACGTGTAAATTGTTGTTTTTAGTTACTAATAGTATACAAGTATTTGAACCAAAATAGTTCGAAAATAAGATAAACCGGTATTTATTTTCAAACGTTTTATAATATTTACATAAACTATGATCAAGGTTTGGCCGAATAGTATGCAGGATATTGGGCAGTAAATATAGTTTGTACTTGTGAAAGTCATGGCGTGTTTTTCGAAATTCTAAACTATAATTAGTACGTAATTGTATTCGTGTTTTGTTATTTGAGGCTTTTCATTGTTGTTGATTTTAGGATGTTTCATTATTGGCCAAAGAGGTACATCGTCTTCGTGATCAAATAACTGAACGTGAAGAAGAAATCGTCGAATTGAAGTCGGAAAGAAATAACACCAGGGTATGTTCATGATCCTTTACTCAATATATATATATATATATATATATATATATATATATATATATATATATATATATATATATTTGTCCCTTGGGTCCCTAGTGTAACATAGGGCTTCAGTAGCACGTCTCCATTCCACTCTGTTCTCTGCAGTCTCTTCAACCTGGCTCCACGACTGCCCACAAGCTTTCATTTCTTCCTCACATGATCTCTTCCATGTCACCCTCGGACGCCCAATTCGTCGTTTCTCCTGTGGATTCCACTCGAGGGCCTGGCCTGGCACGTGATGTCCCCAGTCGGTTTTCTCAGTATATGTCCAATCCACCTCCACTTCCTTCCAGTGCATGTTTGTTGAGTGATAGGTTCTTGGTTGGTTTGTTACCAGAGTTCCTTGCTGCTTATTCTTATTATTCTGGCCATCTGATCTCCAGTATCGAGTGAGCAAGCGTACGCGGCAGCTGTTGATGAATGTCTGTAGTTTGTTGGAAATCCCTTTCGCAACGCGTTGTCTCTGAGCCATATAGAAGCACTGACTTGACATTGGTGTTGAAAATCCGGATCTTCTTCACGCTTTATCCTGAGTGGAGTGCAGTAGAGTAGATCCGCACACTGATTTCAGATTAGTGCAGGAAAGCCTGTCTTCCTGTCTTTCCCATCCTGCCTGGTTTTGATATCCTCGTCTGTGCCTGTGCCACTTGTAGTTGAGAGGATGCTGCCTAGAAAGGTGTAGGTGAAAGAGACAACTTTAGGTTTCTGCCGTTGATGGTGATTGGAGCTTTTGTTGTTGGTTGGGTATCTTCATCACCTCTGTCTTCTCTACGTTCACTTGAAGCATGTCCCGTCGTCGCTGTCTCGCCTCGCCTCTTCTGTCAACTTGTTAATTTTCGCCTGTAGATCTTCAAGTTTGTGTGACAGTAGACACAAGTCACCGGCGAAATACAAATCTTCTGGGCTCTTTTCCACGGTCCAGCGAGCATATGCTCCTCTTCTCGCTCTTCACAGTTTGTTGCATGATCCAGTCCACCATAATCAGGAAGATGATCGGTGATAGTAGACGGTCTTGTTTTTTTTCACTCCCGTCTTCAATTCAAAAGCATCACTGAGCTTCCCATTGTGAATCACTTGGCATGTGGCGTCTTCATATAGTTGTTGAATGAGGTTGATAAGGGTTTGTGGCACTAAAACCGCATTGTTGAAGCAGTTGCTAAATTACTTGTCGGTTGAAGCTGTCGAAGGCCTTTTTAAAATGGATGAAGTTGAGGTAAAGATTCAGTTGACTGCCATTCTATGCTATGTTCTATGATGAGGCGTAGCGTAGCGTTGGAATTTGGTCGGCACATGATTTTTACTTCCTGAATCCAGCCAGCCAGCCTGTTCCGGTGGTAATTTTGAATCCAGGGCATCTTTTAGTCTCTCCAGGATGATGCGGCATAATATTTTGCTTTGGGTGGACAGGAGTAGAGCATGATTCCGCGCCAGTTCTTGCAGAAGTTCAGGTCTCCGTTCTTTGGGAGTTTGACAAGGTAGCCCTTCTTCCAATCGATGGACAGGTACCTTCCCTCCCTTTCCAGACCATCTGCAGTAGTGGTGTGAGCATGTCCGCTGTTTTCTCTTCGTCTGTTTTCAGTGCTTGTGGAGGAATTCCATCTGGTCCTGCTGCTTTACCAGTTTTCAGCAACTTTATGATGAGTTGCAGGTGGTGGTGCTGTGGTGGATGATTGAAAGGTTTTTTGAAGTGGTCAGCCCATCGTTTCCTTTGTTTCTTCTCTTTGGTAATTAGATTTCCTTCATCATCTTTTGTTGGTCTCATGTGTGTTGATCTCTTCCCTACCAGATAGTAACCTGGTTATTTGATACAATGTTGTCAGGTCTGTGTCTCTTCTACCAGCAGCCTGTTTTGCTTCGCTTGTCAATGTGTCGTAGAAGTGTCTTTTGTGTTTCCGTGCACTCTTCACTTCTTTGTCCAGTGTTTTATACGTTGTACTCAGTTCCTCTTCTCGTCGTTCATCCTTGCACTGGTTTGTCTTCTGCTTCACTATCCTCCTCTACCTGCTCTATCAGTTTCCATGTGTGCGTCGAGAACCATTCCTTATCTTCTTTCTTCTTCCTTACTAATACGGTTATGCAGGTTTCTTTTCACATAGCTTTCAAAGAGTTCCAGTGTTCTTCCACGCCTGATCCTTCAAGGATGTTGCTTCGTGTCTCCCATTTTGTCTTGATGGCTGACGTGAAGATGTCCTTTGTAGTTTCGTCCTTCAATTTAGTTTCTGTTCTAGGTGTGTCATCACCAGCTTCTTTGAAGGCTTTCAGCTTGATTTTGAAGGATCCTTGGACTAGATAGTGGTCTGGGCCTACATCTGCTCCTCTTCTTGATCTTGTGCCAAGTAGGCTGTGTCTCCGCTTTCTTCAGATTGAGATGAAGTCAATTTGATTTTTGGTGTGTCCATCTAGTGAATGGTGAAACTCGTGTCTCTGCCTTATGAATATCCTTGTATTTGTACACACTGTCTCCAACCAGCAAATCATTGAATGGGTAGAAGTCTGCAAACAGTTCTCCATTCTCATTCATCATTTCACCGAGTGCTCCTCGACCCATGATTGGTTCTCTTCCTGTGTTGTCCGCTCCGAGTTTGGCATTCGTGTCGCCCATCAGAATTTTGATGTTGCCAACTGGAGTGGATTTTTTTCCATTACTGATTGTAGTTGTCTGTAGAGTTCCTCCTTCTTCTGTTCATCTGCATTATTTTTAGGTGCGTAGCGTAGCATTGAATGGTTTTGACTTTTCATCCTTTTGAGTTGAACCTTCTTGTCATGAACCTGATCCTGGAGGAGATTAGTTCCCACTGCATGCTAGAGAGCCTTCGATGCTCTTAAGAGGGGGACATCATGATAGCCACTGGAAAACTCAGTATGCTCATGGTTGTCGTCTGAGTGACGATATCAGAGTAGATTATTAACTCTCCGGTTGACGGTTTGGAGAGTCGACTTCCATTCCATCTGCTTCCGTAAATTCCTAACACTACAGTGTGATACCTTCTCATCTCCTTTGCAATCTGTGCAGCCTTGTCAACCAGCTTCAAACATTATTCGGACATTGAAATGTGAAAGTTTAAACACTGAAATTATAATGCAAAGCATTGAGGCGGATGTTGGGATTGAGTTGCTTGGGGATCGGTTAAACAGTTAGATGTGAGTTTTTTAGTAGTGCAGTTTAATGAGTAAAGGAGAATTTAGGTAGAAAAATACTGATTTTATTAATTTTCGGGATGAAAATTTTACCTGTTGCCGTTGAATTATAAGGGCATTGGAAATGCATTGTTAATGAAATGTATTTGTAAAATCCCGATAAATCGTAGAACTAAATTTCTGAGGTTTCGCGACTTCTTGAAAATGACATTCTTTTAAGTAGCGGTTCCCACCAAGTCGGAGAACGTCTGAAATTTATTTCGCTGCTTACTTGGGTTTTTGCAGTTATATTTGATTTATAATCATAATGATTTTGACACGGGAGTGAGAATTGGATTGACGGAGTCTAGATCTTGCCATTCGTAGCAAGATACGTGTCACTGAAGCAGACGAAAACAAGGTGTGTCCCGAGGTGGGTAATAGTGATTGCAGTGGTAATAGGAATTAGATTAACTAGGCGAAACGAATCAGGAAAGGGAAACAAAAATATAATATAAGGTTGATAATTGGGAGCAAGATGCAAGTAAGGAAAAGCGAATTTGATTAGACTACGCTGTTATTCCTACCATGGCAGATTCAAGCTGACTACTATTTCCTTGTGACTGCAGAGGTTTGGTTTGACAACTAGAATCTCACAGGCTTCTGCGATTGCAAGGTTTTTTTTTTATTTTTCTGTCTACTGATAACCGTTAAGGACTAACATGTATCAGTGTGATGCCTGAAATCTATTGAGTGTTTCGTTATCGAGCTCATCGGGGTCTTCTTCTCGGCACGCTTCAGCTATTTGGGTAGACAGATGCCTCTCCGCACGAACAACGTATTTGTTTGAGCAGATACGTTGGAATTGATATATGCATTCCGATCTGTCGAGGATCGGAGCCCTGTCTTCCTCTGATTGTTACAGTACGTATTTTGTGGTGCTGAGGAACGCGAGTTTAACAGCGTAATGTCTTTCTGATAGACTGTTCCAGTTTTCGCCCAACTACCTTTAGCACGTCGTAACCGTTAAATGGCAAGGTGATATAGAGTAGCTTTCTCTTTACTGTTAGGGCTTTTGCTATGCTTCCATCCCCATTTTACGTGCCTACTGATAAAGCTCTTTGGGTACCCATCCTTCATAAAGACGTTTTACGGAGTCATCGTTTTGTAGTCAACTCTGCTGTCAGAACAGATTTTCTTGTTTGTATTGAACGGCGTTCTAGTTACATTCAATTTTTTATGTCGTGACCCAATGTATATAATGTAACTCTGCCTTAGGTCAACGTATACATTTTGTTCACTAAAATATGAAGCTGCGAAATTCGGATTTAGTTATCAGTTAAATTACATTTTGGCTGAATTGGTATTCGTATAAGGATGTTAAAATGAAAGGTAGTGAACACTTTCTGCAACATAGAAACCTTCCTGGTGGAGTTTGTAAGTGAAGAACGGCTATAAGTTTCACATTCCAAAATTTTGTGTAGGGTTTTTAAAAAATCAAAAGGGAATCGGAATTTGTCAACAGAGTTATTGCTGTTTTATTGGGTATAGCACTACTGGTAATCTAAAAAATGTTGGTTTTAATTTGACCTCTAGCTGGAGTTGTTTTAGACCAGGGCAACTATATTATTGAAGTATTATAACGCATAAAAACACTGAGCGACCTCACAAGTTCTTGCTTAAGAAAAGGAATTTTGATACAAAGTAGGGATAGACTCTACATTCTTCTTCTTCGTAAAAGTTGAACTTTTGAGAGCAAACCGTTCTTCACTTTATCTGTCTTTACGAAAATTTTATTCTTTATTTCGTGAGGATAATGCAAAATGTTATTGTGACCAGGAAAATAGCATGGTTTATTAGTATTATTCTGTCATTCTAGTTCGAGTAGATTTAATTAAGTTCAGCCTTGAAAGTATTTGCCACTGAATCTGTGTGAGAGATTGGTTTTAATGATGTGCCTGAAACTTTGTCATTGTAAAAGTGAAACAGTTTATAGAAATATATATAGAGAGACGATTATACGTTTGGGCATTCTGAATTTACGCCACCAATACTGCTACTACAAGATTTTACAAGTATATTACTTTGGAAGTTTCTCTAAAAATCAATATTCCAAATACCTATGTTCTACCACAGCAGAAGAGATGAACAAGCATTTACATCATATTAAGGTGACATCTAGTTTTAGGCTTAAAGTTCAGTGTTTTTTTCTAAGTTAAAGAAATCTGTGGATAAATATAGATCACAAGTATATGTGAGTCAAGAACAACAGCGTAGAAACACACATAGGATTTTGATAATTCAATTCGTTATTTTTCAGCAGCGCAGTAATATGAAAACCAGTGGACTTCCGAAATAAAATAAAGTACACAAAATTAATAAAATACTGAAATTTGTGATATCCTCTTCCGTGATTTCAGTGTCTTTCCTAACTGCACAGTTTCAATTTAACAACAAAAGATTTGCTGCCAAATAGATGTGTTGATGGGATAACCTTTAGGTCACCTTCTAACCGGTATGTCCATGGTGAAGTTGGGAATTGAACCACTGCATAGCAATGTAAATAAATTGTTCTTCAATACACGGATGACAATTTCTTTCTGTACGAAAATTTTACCATTGCTAACATCCTTCTCTACACATTCACCCAGAAATCGAGTTGATCTATGAAGCAGAGAAAGGTAGATAGATGTTATTTCTTGATGTCTTGCTATCAAGACGAATAAATGGAATAAATGTCAAACTATGTGTAGTTACTTATTTTTCTAAACTAAATCACAAATGGAATGATTTTTTGCTGATATGGAAACATGTCTGAAATATTTACCCAATTTTGAATTGTTTTACTACGTATCATTGAAGTTGTTGTAATTGGATGAATGAATGAAAAGTTCCTTGTTTCATTCAAATTTCCTCCATTGGAACATTCTTTGTAAAGCAATAAAAATTTCTCTTGGAAAAAGGCTAGTCTGAATTCTATTTGTAACCATCACGTTTTTCTATACTCATTTAGAGGACATGAATTTCATAAATCGCTAACATTCACGTGGTTTAATGGATATGTACTAGCATTTCAGGTCGTAGAGAGTATCATAAAGACAGATTTCATATGGAAATCAGGTGGTGAACATACTGTTTAACATCTCGAATTTAAAAAATGGTTAGTCATAAAGTCATCTAACCTATTTTACTGTACACAAAACTGTCAAAAACATTAGTGTTAAAAATAGATTCAACATTATTTCACAATCAGTCGAGAAAAAGAACTAGTAAAACAGAAATGTTTTACTGTACTGAAGGCGATGTAAAATTTTCGACAACAATTGCAATATGATTATCGACTTTGCCACTTTTCCCACTTCTGTTAAAATTGTTCAAGTAAACTCTTACCATTCATGATCACTGATTACTATTAACATTGGATATGCTTTTTTACCTGAAACTATAGGTCAAGCAAAGTTTTGAATAGTTCGGTGTGCATTTGCTTTTTTCATTGGATTTCGTGAAGTTTGTACCGCAGCTTTTGAATGCAATGACACTAAAAGCTTTAGGATTCAAATAAGTTATAGCTCATCGCCTAAGCATGACAGTAGTGGTTCCGTCATGAAATACAGATCTATAGTAAAGCATACAGGAAACGTATGCATAGACTTAATCTCCATTTTGGTTAATCCATCGTAGATTATTGCATATTGCATAGTATTACATATTAATTGATCATTGACTTTGTGTTACTGGTGGTTAATTATGTTTCAAATAGAAATAGTGATGGGCCAGTAGTATATAATTATTGAAGCATATTTTATTTATTAGATTCAGTGTATGGTGAAATTCTAACAAGATTTGTTAATTATTATCATTTTTTATGCAGTTTTTCTATTTTAGTCAATCCTGTGTTTATTCTTCCAAGTTGTCTTCATTTTTGGTGTAACATAATTTATCTCCATGGTTAGTTGACTATAAGATTTAAAAAACAATTCCACTTTCCTAATGATTATTTCAGCTTCTTTTAGAGCATTTGGAATGTTTAGTCGCTAGACATGAACGTTCATTGAGAATGACAGTTGTTAAACGACAAGTAAACAGTCCTGGTGGTGTTAGTTCTGAAGTTGAAGTACTCAAAGCCTTGAAGTCATTATTTGAACATCATAAAGCCTTGGATGAACGAGTCAGAGAACGTCTTCGTACAGCGTTAGAACGTGGTGCACAATTAGAAGAAGAAGTTCGGTCATCTGCAGCTGACCGAGCAGCTTTAAGAGAGCAGTTAGCTGCAGCACTGGCTGGAGTTGCTGCCGCCGCTGCAGTTCAACAGCAACGACAACAACAGTCACTCTCAACTATGAATGGAAATAATAGTGGTGAGTTGTGTTACCAGTATTCTTTGAAATGAGGTATATTGATGGTTATAATTATCAGTAGTGGCTACTTTCAAAGCTCATGTTTTAATTACCTTACCTAAAGTTCACTTTCATGTTCTTGGGAATTAATTATACTTGAGCTTAAACATGGGATATGTATTCATTTTTAAAAGTCACCTCAGATTTTATCAGGATATTTCCATAGCACTGGCTAAATAGGTGTCTGCCTGTCTATTTCCGAGTAATTACTATAAGATGACGAAATAACCTTTCAGTCCGTAGATGTGTTTGTCAGATACGTTCGTGTATACTGGAACCTATTATACTTAGGCTATCATTTTAATTGTCAACTGTCAAATAATTAGTTAATGTTCGTATATATGTAAAGCTTGCTGTGTTGGTTGCAGATAAGGAGACTCTTAAACATAGGCTGACGCAACAGTGTATGGTTAAAATTCCCTGTACGATAATTTACATTAAATTAAGGAAAGTGTCATTCGAGGATTTTTAGAGGTCCACCACTTAGACCAACTAAAGATAAGCAGTTATAACATTACTGGCCGAATTTGTCACACAGTAACGAAAATGTCATTCAGTAGCTTGGTCAATGTTCGAGTTAGTAAAACATTTTATGGTTGTGCAGACACACATGATGATAATAAAGTCTTTGAAGATATTCAGTTGCAATCAATATAATCTAGATAGATCAATTTTCCATTTGTAAAGAGATCCTATTAGTTCACTTTTTGTGAATTCCTCTTGTTTTAACGTGGTGGTGCAGATCTTGTTGGATGTTTCATATCTGTTCATTAGTGGCTCATTGTTTTTTGGTTATTCAGAAGATAGTCTGCTTCATCAGACGGTGTCACTTGCAGAACATGAAGTAATGGATAGCAGTTTTACTGTATTTTGGAACGTTTATTTGTATATTATTTACTCTTAATATGAAATGTAAGGTCTTCAAGTAACGATCAACACTGTTTTTATGTCACTAAATTAGAGAACATTGATTATTGTTGTCTAATTTTAGTAGGTAATCTGTTCTTCTATATTGCATATTTAAAAAGTTGCATGATGTATCTTCTTCTAAAACCACTAGTTGATTCCAATCATATTTCACAAAGCAGCAAAGATAATAGTGAGGGCAGCGATGTCGGAGGTAAGCTAGCTTCACTGCCTCCTGGTGGACCACCGATAGCCTCAAAGGATTCAGGAGATGAAGGCTCATCAGCAAACTCACCAGAAAACTCAGGTGCAAAAACAGTTGCCTCGGTTGCTGCAGCTGCTGCAGCGGCTGCCGCCAGCGCTGTAGCAGCTGAACGTAAACTCGCTGAGGTCACAACAAAGTCTAGAGATTTGGAAACTTCAAATGCAACACTTCAAAAGGAATTATCTCGAGCGCATGAGCAGGTGAGTTAATTGGAAAGATATGAGCTTATTTGTATTTTAGTATTATTCCTTTAGGCTATCACCGTCTTAGCAATTATTTCCGTAGCGGCACTTCTTCGTCACTTTCAATCAAAGGAATAATTCCTGCCGATTGCCTCCAACCAACTAACATAACTGTAGTTTGCTGGATAAGGTGTTTGAAGACAAAGGAAACTTGAGGCACAGCTGGATCTTGATCACTGACCTGTGAAATCGCTAGTGGGCTGTTCAGTTTGCTTGCTTTAGACATCTAACTGTTAACCGAGGTTCAATTCTTATTCATTCCTATCTCCTAATAATAATGTGGTTTTGTTAAGAAAACTGTTTCAGGAAGGTCTGTAGATGTTTTTCAGAATCTTTCAACTAACACTGTTCGCTGATAGTGTAATTAGTGGCTATGGTAGCTGCCAATCACTCATAACAGTACATATGCTAATAAGCGAGTAGAAATCGTGTGAAAAAGCTATGTACTTTTATTAACCCTATGATATGACTAAGATAGACTATTTGATGTCATAAATGAAAAACCCATAAGTAACTAATAATAACTTGTCAAGGCATTTCATATGTAGATGAGTAAGGTTAAGATCCTATGGAATGTAAGAGTATTTGGGATAATAATGATAGTAATTATAATAATGGTAGTAAGGAATCATAAAAAACGTCATAACACCACCCCTGGTGTTTCACGAATCCTTTCATTATCCTTGTCGATCATATCTTGCATGAGGTGATTATAAGGTCTAACAATTTTACTTTTTTTCTGTCGAAAAAGATACTTGTTTAATTAGTTTTAAATTACCTTTAGTTCATTAGTAATTTCCCGTAAGTAGGATTACTGAAATTAAAAAATGTGGGAGAATAGTTTTCTTCCCAAGGTAAAAACTAAAATTCTTTTGTTTTTACCTATATTTGTGTTGTTTAAATTATTTCAGTTTTAAGTAGAAACAGTAGGTAGAAAGACTTAAACTGGTCAGTTTCTGAATGCATGTTTATCTCTCTCCTTTGAATTTAATAAAAAGTATTCAAGATACCAATTACTATTTATACTGCATAGTCATCTTTTTCCTATATTTATGTAGAGTGAAAAGGAGCTGTACTAAACAAACTATTATTTTGCTTGAGGACTCAGTATTCACAATTTACAACAGTGCACTAAGGGACTTCCAGTTCAATAGTGTTGTTCGTCTGTGTTAGGTAGAGAAGTTTCAGGAGGCTGGAAATTGTTTCAATAGCTCAGGTTGTCAGTACTTGTTGCAGAGTAGCAGGTTATAGGCCATAGCTTGTATGAAACCTAATGATGGCATTCACTTGGGCATGCCAAGTAAGTTAAGATGTCTTGGTACCCAAGAATCTTTGCATGGAAGTTGTGGAGCCTAAGTTACTTTACTACACTCCCGCGAGGGAGAAGTTGACAAAGCTAACAGAACAGTAATTTTGTTAACTTGATACGATGGCGAAGATAAAGGAAGAGTTAGAGAAAGAAACAGTCAGTGGTGAACGGTAGGGGATTACTTGGTCTTGGAAACGTCCAGACGGTTGATACTTCCTGTCTACGCCATGGAAGTTAAGTTTATCAAAATTAATCAGTTGATGTAGTTCTTGGGTGGTGGGTTATTTGTTAATCTATATCTAGATTCATGGTGGCTGTTATAGAATTATATATATATATATATCTGGAGAGAGAGAGAGAGAGAGAGAGAGAGAGAAAGAGAGATTTACTGAGCAGAATAAATCTTTTTGTGCATAATGCAAATGTTATTGTTTGTAATACAAGTGTAGCAAAAATACATATGAAACAATAAATTGGCGTGCACATCTGTTACAAAAAGGTTGTTAACCACAGTTATCATTTGAGGTCATTCGATATGACGTGGTTCCATGAACAGAAATTATTCGAATAGAGTTTGACTGAAACCTAATAGTTTTTGCAGCTACTACATACCACTGCGATTGTTATTGATTATGGTTACCGATTTTAAGTAATGTTACGGTTTACATTAAACGTAACTACACTGTGTAGATGAGATCAAATTAACATTAACTCAAAAGGGGGAACAGGTTTCTTTGATATTTATCATAATTGCAACATCTTTAAAATAACTTTACGTAGACTTTTTGTAGCTTCATGTTACTTCAAAATTAACGCATCCTGTACTTATTACCTTTTATTTTCAATCCAAATTCGTCTCATTGATTGTGTGATTATTAGTGTAGGTGAATTAAAAGATAAAGCAGAGAAAAATTCTTGTTATTCCTTTCTAGATTTCGCGTTTGCAGAGAGAACTGAGAGAGTTGGAAGCTCAACGTGAAGACCAAGAAGCTCGTATTGCAACACTGGAGCAACGTTACCTGGCTACACAACGTGAAGCTACAGGTACTTTGGACAGACTTAGTCGAGCTCAATCAGAGTTAATTACTCGTGAAATTGAATTGAAACAGGTAAGTAAAAAAGGAAGCCCTAGTTCTGTTCTTGTTCATACATTGATTTGATCTAATGTATGACACCCAGCTAGATATTTTGTTAGCAGTGGGGGAATCACAGTTTTTTAAGTGACTGCCAAGCACACCACACTTATTCATTGATCGAGTGACAAACACAGCACAAGCAAACTTTGATATTGAGATGAAGTAATTCAGCGGTTGTAATAGTGTAACCGTTCAAAGAGTTATAACAGTCGTCAAAACAGTGTGTATTTTCATAGGCTAGACGGTGATCCACATTTGTTGTGTGAGGGCTGACAATACTACTTGGTTGCCCAAACCTCTATAGGTGGAGTGGAGATCAGAGCCGTGACCCACTAGTTGAAGGTCAAAAGTCCTGACCAATGAGCTAAAACGTTACTCCGAAGTATTACCTATCAAATTATTACACTGAAGAGTGAATTGCATATACCAATATGATGATCACTCAAGAAGATATTTCCATAAATCTTTCCGAACTTGCTGAAACCCATATTACGTCACATTTTCTTATAGCTTCTCGGTAAATGTAACTCAATTTCTCTTTCTATGAGTCTCAGGCTGTGTCACCTATGATGGGTGTTTAAAAAAACAACTAAAAAATGTAGTTCGTTTAACAGACTCACTAAATGATATATAGTTAAGACTGTCATTTTTCTATATTTTGTCGTATATTACTGAGAGTTCTTTTATTCCGCGTATTATTACTATTTTTAAAATATGTAGTATTCGTATCATTTGTGCATGATTATTTGGGTCAAATGTGTATTTGAGGCGCTTCACTGCTGTTTTTATTGCATGCATTATTTTGAAAATGTGCATCTATATTTCTTTAGTACTATGAAATCATGGCTTGTTACCTGCAACATCTGTCAAACATTAGGATCACATGTTGGCGTCCACACCTAGGAAACCTAATGGTGTAATTAAGCCTTACATAGTGGGTTTTTTTTTAAAAAAAATGATACTTCAAAGTGGGATTTCCTTACTTCTTCGCTTACTTCAGTTTTATGCTTCCCTATTTCAATCTTCTAGGTTTTCTCCTTTTCAATGGTTTCTTTTGCTTAAGTATGACACTAATTTACGATGCCTTCATGTCTCCTTCACTGATCACTCAGCTCTGGCTCTTCTGATTCCCGGTCAACACATCTTTCTACAGGGGTAACACTGATTTTCAGTGTGAAATTTTGTGTTTTAGTTAAAATAGGATGCGTACTTTTTGGATCCCAACCAGAGGGATATAGGAGTGAGTCAGCATTGTAAAAGGCTGTGAAGCTGTAGTTTATTGGTTTACGCACCTTTAACGTAGTTCTTCATTTGATTTGAAATGCATCCCATCTGAAAAAGTTTGGATAACTAGGTAGTTTTACTACTTTTCACACAGTTGATAGGGCCTTTACTCTAATGGAAAAACATTCAGGTGACTGCTGAGTTACATTGTTGCATGATGGAGCTTGTGTATTCGGTGTGTTTGTAGTCTGATGGGCAGGAATGATTTGCAGTTTGTTCCTATATTGACTCCAACTCACATTAATCAACGTTATGGTGAGTTAGATGCGCTTAAATGCTCTATGACACTGATCCAAGTTTATAAATATGTTTAAGGGATTATATAATTACTTTCTTTCCGTTTATAGTCTCTTGATTTTAACCACTTAATTTATTAACCAAGAGCAAATTATATGGAAGTAATGTGTTTTAAAGTACGGCATGTGATATTTAGTTTTATTTATGGTATTTCGTCACGTGTTTCTGTCTAGCGCGAAGGAGCTGATATACGTTTTAGTGTAAATTTGTATATATATATATGCATCTAATGGACTTGAATACGCTCATATGTACCTTATCGGAAGCTATTTGATCAAGGGGCTGGATTACGATTCTCTATTAGCTGCTTCAATAAATTTTTTGTAGGACTTCAATTGTAGTCAGTTTAATCATATTTTGTTGGTTATGCTATCATCGTCTTGCGTATTTGAGTTGGGAAAGGTATCACATTCAACGAAATTTAGAATTTCTACTGAATAAAGTAGTTTACTCATGTTTATTTGTATCGTATATCGAAAAATCAGTAGTATTTAAAATAATATGAAGTTGGATCGTAAAATCTTTAACTGTTTTTCAAGAAATTACCAAAAAGATGAACTTATAAAGTAGTTTCCTCTGGGTGGTGATACTGAATTACTGACTCACTAGAGAACAGTCGTTAATATTTTAACAATAGTTGCATTGCATTTTACTATCTTCTAATTGGTCATAGCTTTAGCTGTGCATATTTAATAGTATTACATCCAGTAACGTAATATGCAATACTATGACTTAAAATTTTTTGATTGTTCGTAATATTTTGACAGGTTTTCAAGTTATCTGAAGTTTATCTTATTTTATGGATTTGTGTATAGGGATTTGGCATACATTTGTTATGCGACTTATAACTAAGGTGCCTGACTGCGCAAACCGAAGTAACCAGAAAAGTTTGTGTTAGTGGTCAATTATTGTGTGTCTAGACAGTAATCTAATTGCATAAAGCTCATAGTACATGCAAGGTAATGAACTTCAAAAGTCGGATAAACTTTCCTCAAAACTGCCCTCTTCAACTAGAGACCAAAAATCAGTGTTGTGAGTTATTCGTCTTAATGAAAAACGCATGCTAACTTACAGATTGTGTAGATTCTTTTGTTGATTAAATTGGACATACTGTTACATGATGCTATCATGACCGCGAATACATAATGTATTTATTGCCTAAGTATGTAGGTAGTGGTATGACAGCATTCTGTTTGTTCTTATTACAGTATACTGTATACAAAATCACTCAAGATAAGGCGTCTAAAGAAACATCAACGTGACAAGTCAATTCATTTGATTAGATGACAGTATCTACCTTCACAAGCGTCAGTTGGTGTTATCACTTGATCATTTATTGTTTTATTTAACGTGTAATAAGCACCCAAACTAGCCAGTCGAGGCTAACAACTGCTACATATTTTTTTTATTAAAGTACAGTGTGATTTTCGTCTGGTTTCACAATGCAGTGTATTTAATTGTTGCTATCATTATTCTTTTCAAAGGCAAAAGATCATGCAAATCATTTGGCTAGTGAATTGGAAATAGTACAAAATGAGTTAGCTATCGTCAAGGTCAACACATCACAACAACAAAATGCACCATCCAGTACAGCTGCTAATACAACAACAATTAGTACTACAACTAACACAGAACTACTAATTGAAAATGGGGAACTTTATGAATCTATAGACAATGAAAATGAACATGATGACCTGGACTCTAGAAAAAAGAAAGGAAATTCTGATGTAGATAATTCTAGTGTATCCTTTGTTGATGAACTACGCGTTCAGTTATCCACAGCTGAAGAACGCATCAAAGATATGGAGGCTGAAATGAATGAAATACAATCAGAACTACAAAGAGCTAGACAACGTGAACAGTTAAATGAAGACCATAGTTCACGCTTAACTGCTACTGTAAGTTTAGTTTCTAATCTTTTATTTGAAAATTCAACTTTTGCTGTTATCATTGATTATAGATATGTAGTTATCGACTAGTTTTTGTAAAGAATTCAGTCATCGAGTTAAACTTTAGTGACTGCTATGTGCAAATATTTGTTGAAGAATATATATTTACCGCTTTGACTATTTGTCAGAAGTAATCTTAATCACTGATAATGACAAAGCTCTTATTACAATAGTGCAAGTTCTTAACTTATCTGTGTTTTACTTTGACATCAATGCTGTTTAGGTAATAGACAAATTGAATGGTAGAGTGTTGAATAAAGTATTGTTTACCATATTCTTAGAGTTTGTTTTAAGCTACCGAGGAGGCCTTGGAAGCTTTATTCTATGGAATTCTCAGGTATAACAGAAAGTAACTGTCCATTGCTTCTGGCTTTCTAACCTTTTGTTTTGCTTGATTCTGAAGTTGAGAATAATCAAGGTTAGATATCAATTTGCTGACTACTTGACTTTTAATTACTTTCAGCAACAGTAGATTTTGTTTTCTAAGTATTTTAGCCTCCATTCGATATGAAACCAAAGGTCTTTTACTATGCCTAGTATGAAATCATTTAATTCAGATATTTTATACTTGATTCTTGTTGTGAAGTTGCTAAAGTTGGTATATTCTGTACAAATGATCCAATGTATTTCATCTAAATTTGTGAATTTAACTCAGCTTTCTCATGGTAAAATAGGAATTTCATTGGAACACACATGTATTTTCTAGGTAAATAGAAATTTACTGTCTGTATATCAACTTTTCATGCACTTGGAACTTTGGTTTGGGGATCGGGTGGATTGAACTTTGTTGGTTGTGCGTTTCTTTTCTTGGGGTCTTAAAGTTTCTTGTTAACACCATTTTATTGTGTTATCATTCCGGATGAAGTCTGTACTTGTTACTTCTCTTTAGTGATGATGTAAGTAGTGTTATTGCTTGTATTACACCATCGTTGACTGGACTGAATTGATCAGTCTCTGTTGGCATATGGGCTCCTGTGTGGATGCCTCGATATTGCCTGTGTTTTTAACTATATAGTAATGATGGATAATGGCTAGCAGTGGAATCCAGGATACGCATTTCATCCTATTTAAGACTCGTCAGCTGGATGTTCCTACCTCCTAGTGAGTGATGTTGTTTGCACAGGGATTCGGACTCGTGTGCGATCGCTTCAAATGCCAGCGCGTTATTACTACATCATCGAGCCACAATAGCCACTTCTTGTTTTAGTGTTATCGCTTGTCACTGTATTATATAGTTAAAAACACTGACAGTATCGAGGCATCCACACAGGAGCCCATATGCCAACAGAGACCGATCATTTCGGTCCTATCAATAATAGTGTAATACAAGCAATAACACTAAAACTTTACCCATCTCACAAGAAGTGGCTATTGTGGCTCGATGATGTAGTGGATAACGCGCTGGCATTTGAAGCGATCGCCCCCGAGTCCGAATCCCTGTGCAAACAACACCACTCACTGGGAGGCAGGAACATCCAGCTGACGAGTTTTAAATAGGATGAAATGCGTATCCTGGATTCCACTACTAGCCACTACCCATCATTACTAGATAGTGTAAGTGTTTCGAAAAAACGTTTGTCATGAATCTTGTATGGAAATACTCTTTAATATAACATGAAACTCTCATCTTAGAGTATTTAGAAATAACTTAATGAAGCTTTTTAGCTCAGTATCCCAAGTAGCTCGCGTCCACTTTCACTTTACTGTGTCTATTTGTACCATAACACCACAATACCTCTTCAACTAGATCTTACTTCATCCACCTGAACACAAAGAATGAATAGAGGAATAGTTTGATTCATTTTTATTAGACTATGTAGAACGATTTTTCTTGGCGGACACAGTTGCTTATATAAGTTGAAAGGATACTGTTCTCATAAAAAAATTGATAAACGCTTTAAAAGTTATCTGACTTTGAATTTGGTGTATGTCGTATGTAGTTGATAAGCTTTTTAGCACTTGAAGCAGTCGTAATTCATTCTTTTCCATTTGGATATTATACGTATTCATATTATTTTAGCTTTACGTGTTAAGGCGTAATAGAATGTTAAAATACGTACAGTTATGTGAGACTTCATATCTAAACATTAAGATTTATTTTACGTCATAAAAAGAGGCTGGCAGGTAATTGTACTGTTCAGAGGAATTGCAGTTTCTTCTTTATCTATCGTTAATACTAAGAGTAAAAAGTTGTCATCTAGGCAGTGACTAATGGTAGTTTTGATAAGGAGATATTGTCAAAAACTCCTAACTTCATCATGCTAACTACCGACTCATAAATTTTCCTTATGTATATGTACAAAACATAATTAAAAAGTTTTCTGACATATTTATTTTTATCTCTTACTGTTTTGCAGGTTGATAAACTACTACTTGAGTCCAATGAACGATTGCAAACTCATTTACGTGAAAAAATGGCTGCATTGGAAGAGAAAAATCAATTACACACTGAATTAGATCGTCTGAGACGTCTTTTGGAAACAAGTCAAACAGAAAGAGATCGTGCTTTAGCAGATATGGAACGTTTACGACGTAGTTCTGCAACAGCAACACCAACTGCACTTGCTTTGCAAGGTAAATTTATCCATATTTCTGCTTGATGACAAGAAACTATGGACGACTGATTAGAACTTGGTTTACTCAATAATGAAGTCAGAGACTGAGTTATTAAGGCCATGACTCACCTGTTTTTCGACTGAACCACATGGGATGAGTTGCACAGTTTTGAGTCACTAAGAGGACACTGGTTTCCTCATATTTGCGCTAGTACTTTTTGTTAGTGAGCACCAACAAGCATGAAACCTTGGCTCAGGGTTTCCCACCAATTGATTTAGACCATCTAACTGTAAAATATAGTGCATTGCGGTGTCGCACTAGGTGGTCAAATTGTAAAACGTGGTCGGTAGACTCCAGCTCAGTGCTAAGCACCGAGGAATAGACAGCTGAATGGGTTGCCCCCTAGTGACTTATCGATGTAAGTTTCGACCGATCTTACTTTTCTTCATCAATGAATAACTATGGGGGAAACCAATAGTTGTGAGTTTCATGTTCAATTTAAATAATGGGAAACTTTAAATTGTTTTAGGGATTTTTATATATTTATTCATAATCCACGCATGATGTAGCATTGGTTATGCTTATAATACCTTTGGTTTCTATCCTCATCGATTCTTAACTTCATCTGAAAATCGCGATTTTTCTTTACAACCTCATTGGAGGAAGTTGGAAATGGTAATCTGTGATAAGTTCTGATACATTTCCCGGAATATGAGAAACATAAGATTCATCAAGAGTTGCTTAATTCCTGTTGACCTTCCAGCTAACTCTTATTCTCCATCGAAACCAGCGGAAGCATAGTTCATCGATTGGAATTAGATATGGTTATCAGTTTAAGTCACTTAAGTAGAAAAACGATTATGATCATCTGATAAACACTTTTGATGTCCGTATGTACTTTTGTGTATTCATAACTAGTACGAAGTCAATTAGGTTGGCAATAAAATTATCCGATTATAGTTTAATTAATTACTTTTTTTATTTATAAGCGTGCTAATAAACAAATGCATATGAAGTGCGTGGAAACCAGTTGTATTTTTACATTTACACTTTAAGGATAAGATTACAGTAAATCTATGAATGAAAAAGAATAAAGTAGAATGGAACGAATATTAGGAATGATATAGGTTCAATTCATGCTAAGTGTCAACCAAGTACTTGTTTACCAATGGTATCTACCGATGTATGTCCACCTTGTAAGTGTACATGTCTAAAACTTCTCATGATTAACCTATTGTTCGCAAGAAATCTGGTTGACTTATAGCATGGAAACAACATAATCCTATTTGACGAAGATGTTAGCGGAATTGAGTGTCTTCTGAATACCCTGAACGAAAATCGGAGCATATTTGACATACATTCTATACCTGTCAAATGTAACATAATGCGTCAGGACTTGTCTCCTTCATTTTATAGGGAAGGAGTAGGAATTAAAGTGATATATTTCTGTGGATACATCACTTACTTCGGAGCTCCTACTGTACTTAATAGACTGGTTGGTTACGAAATTTGATTAAAGTCACAAAATGTCCCCTCCAATATATGACATTCCTGGCACTATCAAGATATCCAACTACCTGTTGAAGATTGGATATGCTGCACAGTCGTTTACAGTCTTCCATTCTACAGCTGCGAGTTTGGACACGTTGAAGTATGAGACGTAAGGTCTTTGACCATAGATGTGTTTACAGCCTTGCTCACGTATGGTAAAACTACTGATTGATCATTGTCGAGAATGTCAGTTAAGTAATGTAGGTGAGTTGATGAAGTTGTAAACCTTCATCTACTGAGATGACTGTTGTGCATCTTATAAAGCGACCATTTACGTCTGTATATTGTTAAACTGAAATAGAAGAAGAAGGCTATGGATAGTCAAACAAAGACACGGCACTAATCAATGAAGTGTCTAAATGCTCGTTTACTTTGAGCAGAGTGGTTCAGGCTATTTAGCTGAGATCTTTACGATGATAGGAACGAATAGTTGAAGAATCTTAGTGACTTGGCTCTAAATCGATCACAGTGGTACAGATGTGTAACTCGCTTTATCGTCTTTTAAATTTTTATCATTTTGTTTACTTATTCCTGATTTTCTAATACTATATCTACTACAATATAATTCCTTTACTTCCGAGTTAGGGTTGACTTACTGAGAGAACAAATGTGTGGTTTTGTTTACCAGCTGTCGCTTCACGCATTCATCAACCACATAATCAATAAACTAATGTGAAGATTTATTGTCATCTATTTTTGTACCATTTCGGCAGTAGATAGATCAAAACAAATCTTACTTGCAAGCTACTGATTGTTATCTGAATATGTCGGAATATACTACCTAGGAGTGGGATTTATTTGTTTATAATTTGTGAATGTACACTTTTCTGTTCAAACTATGAGGTTTCACGCGTGTATTTTACAAATCGCAAGTAACTGTCTTTTCTTTCAATTTTTTTAAGGTGACACTTACGCAAGTGGTTCACATAGCCTTCGAAGAATGCCACGCAATGTTACAAGTAATCGCACCGATCAAGTATGTTGTCAGTTTGATTGTTTTTATGTAACATTATTATCTATGAAATATATATATATATATATATATATATATAGGGAATAACAATATGATAAGACGATGAAATTCTCTCACTTCCTACGCTTCCTCTATTGTTCTCTCTTTCTGCTCTGTATATTTGCAAAATATACAATGATAGGGATTTGCTTCCTGATTTGAGAATGAATGAAGTTCAATCATTGTAAAAAGAATTTTTCTATGCGGTCAATCAAAGGATATCATTTCTACTTTAGCACTTAAACAGATTAGGCAATTTAACAACCGATGCGTTACTCTGCTTTATCTAACTCACAGAGCTTGACATACGTTGTGTGAGAGTTTACACTTTACTACCTGGCAGAATGCACTTTTAAAAGTGCTAAGACTCAGTACTTAGTAATGCTTTAAATGTTGTAAACAAGATCTCAGGTGACATAGATACCGGTTAATGATTTTTTTACTTATCATAAACCCATGAGCATGAAACCATGGAAGTATATTCGAAGATTCGTGCTAAGACAGCGAGTTATGTGAGCTAATCTGCTGGCGCAGTTTTCCGCATTAGGAAAGCAACGTATTATGGTAGCCTGCAAAATAGCATGGGTGTTTATGTATTTACTTCCAGCTAACCGCGTCATTAAAACTCTGAAGGTTAGCACTCAGTGCGAGCGTGATTAGGCTGTAAGGGATTTATTTTCCTTTATCACATTAAAGTTCTGGTGTTTGTGTTTTTAAAATAGATTTTCAAAACAGGAGAATCAATTCTGTGTGAAAAATTTAAGCAGTGATAAGGAAGGGTTAATAGGCGGACTGATCAACATTAGGCTTTGTACAGAAGTGTATCATTTCAGGTGCTACACTTCAAAACAGCATGAAAGGAGGGACGGAGCGGAAATGGAATAATATGAAAACAAACTAATAGGATGTGTATGTGAGAAAATCAAAATGAGGTTTAGTGGTAAGTTTGGAATTCATGAGGGGATAAAATTTAAGCACAGTTACTCTACTCTGTTACGATTGATTTTTAACTGTAACAGATACCATTGATTCATCATATCTCGAGGACACCAGCTTACTTTCCTTTACATGGCAGATGACGAAATCTTAGTTGGAATAGTGAAAGGTCTGTTGTACATTTATTCCTCTACTGTATTTATGTTGTTAAGTAAGATATTCAACCCTCTTCCAAGTGGCACATATACTTTGTAGTAGCCTGTTATTTTCAGCTGTAGGTTGTGAAGCATAGGTGTTGTAGTTGGATGTTAGTAGAACAATATAGGTGACCGAAGTGCAACAATATATGTGAAGCATCGCATGTATATAGCAAAAGCAAAATATGCATAGCGTAGAGAGGATTGAGTCGGGAAGGTAAGTCGTTATTATAAGTTCATGAAATTACGATTACTAAAGTAGCTGGGAAATTTGTTATTCATGAATAAACCATTACTTACTCCAGAATGAGATTGTTAGAAACTGACAGAAACAATCATCAACCCTGCCGTATTTCAATGACCGTAACACACACTTTCCTCCCATACTCTCTGTTTTAATAGCCTTATTACTCACTTCAATATATTTATTCTCTTGCTTTTCTTTATGCTGTTGCGAGGTGTATCAACTTGAACCGGTGCCAAATCATGTTCCACTCTACATTGTCCTAGTTGATTTCTTGACCTATTACCATTATTTTTCATTGATCTATTACTTTGAATTATTAATTTTCCAATGTTTGATTTCTGTAGGGAGTTGTAGCGGGTTCTTGATATAACTCGTGAAATCACGGATTTTAGAGTCAGGAGAAACTACACTTTCTTCAAGAATATTAAACTAAACTTATCTTCCATAGTTATTCTTAGTTTCAACCAAACTATTCTACGGTCTAATTATAACATTCAGTTTCGATGCCATAGTTTCAATTCATTTTTTTATCCTTGATAATTAAGGTCAATATTTTATTGAAGTGATTATACCAGCGCTTTTAGCGTTTGTATATGCTTGTGTTTGTGCGCTTTTCTAGTTTTGTGCTTATTTGCCGTTCTAGCGTATTTATCATTATATGTTGAATAGTAATAAAAAGCACAAAACAACGATGTTTATTGATTAGCTGTCCCGGACCTTTTCTCCTGTGATGTCTAGGTTTTCGGTTGTTTCTCATGTGCATTTATATATACACATAACTGCGGCATGCCGACTTCACCTTCACTCCCCTTAGTTTTTTGTTTCCTAACCTTTCATATATGTCTGTTCACTTTCAAATTAGGCCTTGTTTCTGTTACTCAGTTGTCTTATACTTACAGATTCGTTCGATTTTTTTATAGGTGAATCATTAAGTTTCTTTACACATTTGTGTTCATTGAAACAATGTGTAAATGAATAAACCTGTTTCCCTGCATATTCTCTGTCGATCAAATATTGCAAAGTAGTTTTTACTGATAGTAGAAAGTATCATTCCTGCATTAGCAACTGACTGAAAGCTGCTTTCAATTTTACGTCGTTTTTTGTACTCTACCGTCAGGTGATAGATAAGAATGCACTAAGTTTAGCGATGGATGAAATAGTGTACATTGATGTTCAAATGTCTTGTGTTTAGTGCTTAGGTTCTTGAAGTTCTGCTATGCACCTGTAAGACGCGACCTTACTTAGGTGATTCTACCAGACAAAAACTATTTTCGTTAGTCTTGGGCACTCTGACTAACAAATCTATGCAGGTTACAGTGAGGTCGATTATTTTTTTTTTAACAACTTGCTATTTTGGAGTACTGGCTTTATTTCCTCTGATACGTTTGACGCTTGCCATCAAGGCAGCTTTCTGATCGTGGATTATTTTATGATGTGCAAATTGGTTGGATAAACATACATAACATCATCTTATAATGTGTATTCGTAGCGTGAGTGGTATTTGTGTTGTCATGTGGTTAGAGGCATTTTGCATGAAGTTCTGTACCTAGATTTTACATCAGATATCCCATTCAGCAAAGTGTCTGCCGAATTACATTCATTGATGTTATTTCAGAGAATCTAGCTTGTATCACTTCACTTCAGAGTCATAAATGTGGGAGCCACAGTTTGTCTTCTATTTGTTTGAATTAAGTGGGTTGCTCAGTTGCTGAGTGGTTTCCAAGGGATCGGTTTCCATTATAGTACACTGCAGTGCCAAGCCACGTAGCCTAAGATCCATTTGGTGGACATTGTCAACAGAATTCATTTAGTAGTGATTAAACAGAATGACGTTTGTTAACATCTAGTTAACATATTTTGCATCTATCAAAACTCTCTGAATCATGTCCTAGAGGACACACAACTTTGCAACTCTATTCTCTCCTTGAAATCGGAACCAGATGCCAACTGTTTGTAGCTATTGCAAGTTCTTCCGGTGAGTTCTAAATCAAACTAAGCTGTAACTTAGGAGACTTTGAATATATCTTTTTGTAACTGCCACTTTTTATTTAAGTTGTTACTTTTTCTTGTAGGGTTTTTATAGTCTTGTTTGGATAAAGTATTTTAGAATTTTCATATTAATATTATGCCATTTTGTATTTTTGATCCCATGATTTCCCAATATTACGAGGGTCATGTTTCACACAATACAAAATAAATTATCTATCGGCATTTAGTGTAGCAATGGACGTAGATCCGGACGTTCACAGAGGTAGGCAGATAGACGTAAACACAATAAAACGTGGTCTTTCTGTTCAGTCTCACCACATTTGACATCTTTATGGTAGTCATGCAGACGGTAGACTAAAGTATGAAAGTAGCAATAACAATAACAGTTTTGAGAAACAGTACTGAAAAGCAAACGTAGTCGTAACAAAAGGAATGAAGATAATACCAGGACATGATTCTAGGAAATAGAATAAGGTGTGAATGTATATGATCCACTATGGTTGGTTATGTACCACATCATCTATATTGTCCAATATTCTATATTAGTAGTCTCCTTCACTCCAGCCAAGTAATATTTTATTCTTCTTATGGCTTGTATCAACAGTTAGAAAATGCAATGAACCAACTGTGATATCAATACAGTTTTTTTGGAATTATAAGTTGGGCAAGATTTGTTGTATTTCTTACTCCAGGACTCATTGTTATACTGGTTGACGAATGTAAATAATTTTTCGTGTTAACTATTGACTGATGAAAGTGGATCAAATGTTCACTACAGTCGAACAAAAAAGACATGAAAAGATAATGAGAGCGAAAACTAGTCAGACAAAATATTGGGAATTAGAGGAACTACTGTAGTGGGCGTTGCTTATAACAACGGATATAAGTAGTATATATCGATAGGGTGGCAGGAGTCATAGGGAATTACCGGCAATGGGTAAGGTTTCTGCCAAGAGCAACGCAGGGGACAACACAGGCGTATTACAGGGGATACTGCTGATAAGGGTGTATGAAGAGCCGGTCAAGAGCAAATCAAGACAGGAACAGATAAGAAACGAAGACAACTGCGAATGGCTGCGTTAGTGCAAGGAGTACCATATGTAACCACTACCATTTCAATTCTTCGTATTACACATTCTCTCGTCGAGTTGTCTTCTGTTTCCTCACTACAATTAAATGCATGAGTATAGCTATGATCAGTTCCTTTTGATTTTCTCTCATTGTCTCTATCAGTTACATCCCTTTTGCTTTATTCTAGAACAGTGTCCAACGTTTAGGGCAACTGAGATGATCGTCATGCAGTTATTTTGAATATAATTCAAATTCTTTTTGTGTACAGTTAGCCTTGTTGCAAGAGTCACGTAGCTAGAAAACATGAACCTGAGAGCTCAAAGAAATGACGCATAAATCAGTAGACTGGTCAGCAAAAATATGTTAAATATCCATTCGCTATTCAGTCGATAAAAATTACTATCGCCAATACTTTGAAAGTATGAACTGGATACCAACTGCTTATAGAGCAGTACTGATAATCATATCTAGACTAACATCAAAGTATGTGCATATGTAAATTCAAACTCAAAGATCAATCAAAA